TATTATAATTTAAAAGTCTGCCCATGCTTCGCTTGAAATCTCAGTCTGTGCAAAGACAGTGGTTTTCAGAGAGTAAACATTGCAGTGCTGCAGAGTTCCAAACGCCATATTGATTTAGCATTTAAAAACATATTCTAGACTGTTCACATGATATTATTAATCTCTGTACTGCTGCCCAGTAATCATCAACAGATTAAAGTCCAAGCATTACAGTATACACATACTGTTAAAAAAATAATTTAATGTACAATTATGAAGATGACTTACAGAAGGGTAGAACTCTAAATCAAACACTTCAATAACAGCGTCATTACACAAAAATGGTGCCTTTGTATCGATCATATTTGTGTGTTATAGCCATTTTTCTTCACATATCAACAACAATCAAGTAACTTTTCCTTATGAGCTTTTCCTTTTTGGCTTTTTTCCCCCAGACCTGTTAACTTCTCCTTATTAGCAATGCATATTTTAATCAGAAAAAAAAATTTATTTGTTTTTTGGTAATATTATTATTATTTATATTAGCCTATATCATTATGTTATTTATTTAAAGATAAACTAATAAAAAGTCCATTATTAAATGAAACTTCATAAATAACAAACTTAGGATATCAAATTAAAGTATTTGACCTTAAATTGCCAACCCTGTTATCATGATTATTATTAAAAAATTATTATTTGGAGAAAGGCATAGGGGAGAGTGGGGACGGTTGCAACAAGGGACGGTTGCAACATGGCTTATTTTTTCAATCAGGAATGAGCTACAGTGATGATATTCATACTACACATGCTCAATCAGCCCCTCATCCTTCCTGGATGAAATCAGGCACATGTGACCAATCCTTCTACTAATAATAATTTTCATGGTAAAAAAATATATATTTTTTTAATCATCAGATTTTTTGTCATACTGTCTAAGTTGTTTGCGTGAAGCATTGTAAAAACAGATGATTTATATCTGTGTTTTCTTAGCTTCTAATAGGCATAGTTAGCATGTGTCAAAGATATTGTGTCAAGCTAATATACCAAGTTTTGTCACGGCTGTCAGTGTGGGGACAAGTTGCAACACGTTGTTGCAACCGTTCCAACATGCTGTCCCTTACCACAACATTGATGTAAAAGCTTGCCACAACATTACATAATTGTAATTTTATGGATTAATAAAGAACACCTTTCAATAGTTAGGTATTTCTTCTTTTTTATTTAAAGGGGTCATATGATGCGATTTCAATTTTTCCTTTCTCTTTGAAGTGTTACAAGCTCTTGGTGCATAAGCGCCTTTCTCAAGCCTGCCGGCCTCCGCTCACTTTTCATTGTGAAAGCGAAAATACTTTGTTTGGCCTTCCAAAAGAGGACAGGACTAGAAATCAGTGGTTAAGTTGTATTTACAACACTGTTCCAGAACACTTCAACCCAAATATTCAGATGTGTGCAGCACATTTTATGGAGGACTGTTTCCTGATCCTGGGAGAGTAGACTACAATGCCGGCTGTTCTGACTCACAGACTGCAAGTACGTTTTTTATATTTAAAGGATTTGCCACTGATGATTCAAACGCGAGTTTTGAGCAGTGTAGAGTAGCGCTTGTTGTTTGTCATTTCTCCGATCACAAATGCAGACATGGTTTTATGTTTACGCAGCGCGATGCAACGCAATGCGTAAAAAGACAGTATAAGTCATTATAATCCGTAATTATGTCCCCACTGGATGCAACAAATGCCTCGTTTATAATGGGTTTTAATGTTTTTGTCTCGTCGCTCCGGGACACGGCATCACAATATGGTAAGGGGCGTAACATTTCCGTCACACGCTTGAGGTATTCGGCAAATCACAACGCACTGGATAGCTGGCCAATCACAGCACACCTCACTTTTCAGACCGATGAGCTTTGTAAAAAGCTCAGCGGGGCATAGAAGAGAAACAATAATGTACAGTATGTGGAAAATAATGTGTTTTTTTACCTTTAAACGCATAAACACATTTCATTACACCAAATAACGTTCTTTTTAGCAACATCATATGACCCCTTCCATACAATGGTAGATTTGTCTAATTTGAATTTTTACAAAAAAAAGTAAGACTGTTGATTACCAGTTAACTGCTAGTTGGTCAAACTAGTTCTTAAGACAGTCTTAAGATAGTGGCTATGTTTATGCAATGGCCTCAGTTCAGTAACCTTTCACATATGTTAACAGAAGCAGGCTATTATTACATTTCAGTGTCTTGACTCTGATTAAATTAATATTTTGTAGTTCAAATGTATTGTAATAATTAACCAAGACATGGTTGTTACATGAAAATGTTTTTTTTTTCTCCATTTGCTATTCTTTGGTTTTTATACAGCCAATTTAACTTATTAAAGACCATGTCTATGCACAAATAAAATAAAGAAATTGCTAAATGATATTTAAGAATTGTTTTATTTACATTTTAATGAATGTTGCAACTGCCCCTGTGGACTGTTGCAACCGTCCCCTGTTGTGGGGTCAGTTGCAACATTTGACTTTGTCTATTCAAGTATAAATTGTATGTATATAATCATATGTGCACATGTTACAGCAATGTGGGTGAGTAGCTGACTGATGTGGCTTTATTGTAATATAATTCTGGCTTTCTAATGCAAACAGTCTCTGAGAAACTAAAGCAAATGCAAAAAGTGTTGCAACCATCCCCACTCTCCCCTAATGAATTCATTCCGAGCACATATAGTCAGTTTTATGATGTATATCTGCCGCTGAGTGGATTTCCACATGAAGAGCAAACCGCATTACCTCGGAATCTATAATGAAATTCACTATTACAGCCCTCTGTGTCATTCACTTTTTCTCGGTTCTTCATCTTCTTCCTCTTTTATACTCTTGATATTTTCATATCTTGTTAAGTAAGTAAACAGAACTCTTTCAAATAAGTTTCAAAATAAATTTCCATGTAACGTTATATGGATATCTTACCATGGAAAGCATGAGTTGCACTTTTAACTTTTTTAACAGTTTGTCACCTCTCACTAATCTGATTTTTAATTTAAGTAATACAATACACTAATGTAATGTCTACACACACACACATTGTGTTTCCATGTTTTATGGGGACATTCCATCTGTGTAATATTTTTAAACTGTACAAACTGTATTTTCTATCGCTCTACACCTAAATCTACCCCTCACAGGAAACTTTCTGCATTTTTAGACTTTCAAAAAACTTATTTTTATAAGCTTTATAAGTTTGTTTCCTCATGAGGACCTAAAAAATGTCCCCACAAGGACAACATTTACTGATATTACTATCCTTGTGGGAACATTTGGTCCCCATAATGTGATAAATACCATGTACACACACACACACACACACACACACTCGTTTATAATGGGTTTTAATGTTTTTGTCTCGTCGCTCCGGGACACGGCATCACAATATGGTAAGGGGCGTAACATTTCCGTCACACGCTTGAGGTATTCGGCAAATCACAACGCACTGGATAGCTGGCCAATCACAGCACACCTCACTTTTCAGACCGATGAGCTTTGTAAAAAGCTCAGCGGGGCATAGAAGAGAAACAATAATGTACAGTATGTGGAAAATAATGTGTTTTTTTACCTTTAAACGCATAAACACATTTCATTACACCAAATAACGTTCTTTTTAGCAACATCATATGACCCCTTCCATACAATGGTAGATTTGTCTAATTTGAATTTTTACAAAAAAAAGTAAGACTGTTGATTACCAGTTAACTGCTAGTTGGTCAAACTAGTTCTTAAGACAGTCTTAAGATAGTGGCTATGTTTATGCAATGGCCTCAGTTCAGTAACCTTTAACATATGTTAACAGAAGTAGGCTATTATTAAATTTCAGTGTCTTGACTCTGATTAAATTAATATTTTGTAGTTCAAATGTATTGTAATAATTAACCAAGACATGGTTGTTACATGAAAATGTTTTTTTTTTCTCCATTTGCTATTCTTTGGTTTTTATACAGCCAATTTAACTTATTAAAGACCATGTCTATGCACAAATAAAATAAAGAAATTGCTAAATGATATTTAAGAATTGTTTTATTTACATTTTAATGAATGTTGCAACTGCCCCTGTGGACTGTTGCAACCGTCCCCTGTTGTGGGGTCAGTTGCAACATTTGACTTTGTCTATTCAAGTATAAATTGTATGTATATAATCATATGTGCACGTGTTACAACAATGTGGGCGAGTAGCTGACTGATGTGGCTTTATTGTATTATAATTCTGGCTTTCTAATGCAAACAGTCTCTGAGAAACTAAAGCAAATGCAAAAAGTGTTGCAACCGTCCCCACTCTCCCCTATCTAGGATATCACAACAGTTTTCCCCCATTTAGTTTGACACGGCAGATATTTCCTAAAATCTTTCAAATCTTTAAATTTACTTTAAAATCACCTTCTCCGCTTGAAAAAGATACATATTTGAAGACCGACCCTAAAGACAAATAATAACACATAACGTTAGTCAAAACTGTGCGCACTTACAAAATGTAATGTGAGGGAATCTCTCTCACCGACCTCAAGCGCGTCGCGAAACGCACCGGTGACAATTGTTAACGTTAGAAATGTGACTCGAGCCACTCAGTTAGTGGGATATTATAGACATAAAACAAGTCTTGCCAATCCAATCTTCCGTTTGAAAGGAGGTGCTTCTTAAACGAGCGTTCTTAACTGTCAAACCAGTGTCAGTTTAGTGGAAGAGTAAGTTGTCGCGCTGTTTGTTTGCTCCATTTACTTTTTGTACGCACATTTTGAGCGGCATCAAGCGTTGTCGGTTCAAGAGTGAATTAAAATAAACTTCCTAAAGCACAAACGCGCACTCTTGCCTGCGACACCGCGTGAGTTTCACTACTAGGTTTGCGCTGTTATGAGTCAAATGAAAGTAGCCAGTACTTCTGTGTATAACTATGCGAGATGGATAGGTATAGCAACCGCGTAAAGATATTTAATCTGTAATAAAGAATACAAAAATTAATATCTTTCTCACCAGTATAGTTGAAAGAAGCTTCTGAGGTTTTCTGCGATTCTGCTGCGCTATTTTCGCTATGCCGTCCGATTATTCTCTTGATAAATTTGCATTGCAGTGCTCTTTGGCTTTGCAAACAACCAAGACCCGACGGATCTATAAATTTACCGTAATGTCACGCATACACTATAGCAGCGCAGCACTGTCTACCGTAAATACATAGTGCGCTCGTGTACACGTGACAGGCAGATTGCTCGCAGAAATACGAATGAATGGAGCCTCTGCCTGCTATAAGACAGTGGCTGAACAGAATAGCATTTGATTAATGTTTCTGAGATATCTCTATCTTTAAAGTCTGAGAAATGGTTTTGTAAAGTTGTTCATAGCTGAAAGAAGATTGTAAAATAGTGTTGACTTTCAAACACAAGGATGATTGAAGGGAAACAAATATTTAATGATTAAATCGTTTAAACCACATTGGTCAACCAGCAATCACAATATTTAAGGGGGAAAGTGTCCCTTTCAATGTCTATAGTGGTTGAGACACTGCTTCCAAATGCATTTCAGACACATTTTTAAATATGAGTGTT